AACCAAAGATCCAAAATGTACCCTCCAGCATAACAGGAAACTCTACTTTTTTTCTTAACAACTATCTTGTACAAAATATTTATCAATCATATTGCCCTAACTCATTGCACTTCCATGTTTTTATTGTTCAATTTTCATGTTGGTCTTACTAATTCACTATGTTATTTATGGGACTAATTCCTTGTTTTAATGATTACTGTGTTATTAGTGAATTTTAATTGCTTGTTTAATTTGTTTTTTTACTAGTGTTTATCTCTATTTTGTTTTTGTCTTCGTAAGCTACTCTGAGTCCCTTCAGTGAAAGGGGGTGGGTTACAAATAAAGTAGTAGTTGTTGTTGTTATTATTATTATTGAGTCCCCGGTGGCCCAGTGGGTTAAACTCTTGTGCCAGCAGGACTGCTGAGCGAAAGGTCAGAGATTTGAATCTGGGGAGCGAAGTGAGCTCCCATATGTCAGCTCCAGCTTCTCATGCGAGGACATGAGAGAAGCCTCCTACAGGATGGTAAAACATTCAGGCATCCCCTGGGCAGCATCCTTATAGATGGCCAATTATCTCACACCAGAAGCGACTTGCGGTTCCTCAAGTAGCTCCTACACACACAAAAATATTATTAATACTTATTTTTGGTACTTGAATTGAAATATTAACAGATAATCTGTTTTTCTAGGTTTTTTTTTTTTCTTTTTTTGTGTCAGGGGTGACTTGAGAAACTGCAAGTCTCTTTTGGTGTGAGAGAATTGGCCATCTGCAAGGATGTTGCCCAGGGGGCGCCCGGATGTTTTGATGTTTTACCATCCTTGTGGGAGGCTACTCTCATGTTCCCACATGGGGAGCCGGAGCTGACAGAGGGAGCTCATCCGCTTTCTCCCCAAATTCAAACCTGAGACCTGTCAGTCTTCAGTCCTGCTGGCACAAGGGTTTAACCCATTGTGCCACTGGGGACTCCTTCTTCTAGTTGAAAAGCACAATTAGATATAACTATTTCACATACACCTGAGTGATTTTAAATGAACGTGTTAATAATTGATGTTTTAAACTACTTGTTCTAATTATAACTATTATTTATAAAATTGTATGATGGAATCAAATGGCTGCCTGTTGTGAAGCGGCCCTGAGTCCCCCCTTGGGGGTGGAAAAGATGGGACACAAATATGTGAAATAAATACAATTATTATTAACATTAGAACACTGTTTTTGTCATGTTTGTGTACCTTTCTTATGAAATACCATAAACATTTGTCTTAAAGACATACATTTTACGTCTTGTACAATGACTAATGTATCTAACTCAAAATTTGAATCAAGAGATAATTGGGTGCACAAGTCATTTCTGTGTCAAGTCATTAGATGTGTTGACATGTATACAGCAATCAAAAATGCTTTATCTGACATGGAGCTCTATGAAAAGATTCTCTCCAGGGAAGACCGACTAAAATCAAACAAAATCTTCACCTGTGACATTTGGTCTATGCCCACTCTTTTATTTATTGAAATCATAATTGGTGAATATGTGCATGTGTGAACAGGGTGCATATTTTCCCAAATGCAAAATGGACTTAATCATGACCTCTTTAACTGAATGTGTAAGAAAATATACATGCAAAATGGGTTTAATCATGACCTCTTTCACGGAATTTGTAAGAAAATATTTGACATGAATGTAAAAATTGCCCTACAAGATAAAGTTTTTTTTAAAAAAAATTAGATTTTTCTTATATTTTGAAACCTGGGTCCCAGACATAGAGATAGGTAAACAAATTACAAAAGGGTAGACGGGCTGTACAAAACTGCTACTGATCAATGCTAATATGATTTTTTATATTTATCTGGAAAATACATTTATTATTCACTTCATTTCTACCCTGCCTTTCTCTGCTGCAGAGGGGACTCAAGGTGGCTTACAAATTTGGCAAAATTCAATGCCACACAGGTAAACATCTCAATCAAAAGATAAATAATCTAAACATATAAGCAATTAAAACACATATCAATCAATTAAACAGATTAAAACCATATTTTTAAAAGATTTTAAAAGAAAGCATTTCCTTTGCCAGTAAAAGTGCAATCCTATTCACCTTCTCTCAGAAATAATGTCCACAATGTTCAACAAGGCTTACTCCCAAACCAAAAGAGTGCACAGGTTTGCAACATAAAATATATGCAACTATCACATCTAGATTAGGAACTACCCCAGAATTGTTATCTCAATTTGCATATTAACTAACTACCACTAATTATGTCCCAAGATGGAACAGAAATTTTTTTTCTTGAAAGGTAGTAAGGACAATTCTCAAGTCACTTATTCAGATACCTTAAATCATTTCTGTGGTACACATGAACCCATATAACCCCACACAAATTATTCATACAATCTGCTCAGACCAAACTAGTTTTCTTATGTTATCTATTTAAAAAATGAATTGAATGGCAAAGACGTTTAGCACACTTCCCAAGAAAAAGACTTCTAGCATTACAAATCCTGAAATCTTGTACTTGTCCTCACATGGACAAAGCCCAAACACCAAATATGAATGCAAGACATAATCAGTCCTAAGAACTAATTAAAGGTTTCTGTCACTGGTTACTTAAAATACACTGTGTACATATATGCCTACAGACATGAATGGGTCTGCCTACTTTTTGTGCTATGACTAGTTGAGCACACCAGAATAATATAAATGCTTACAAAAAAACACAATTCAGATTCTATCTGCTTGTTTTATTTATATTTATGAATTTAGCCATAATCTGTAAGCTGCTGTGAGTCCCCTTCAGGGTGAGAAGAGCAGGGTATAAATAAAGTAAGTAAGTAAATGTGTATATTATTCCTGTATTTAAAGGCTTCAATGATCCAAAAGTAAAAAAGAAAAAGATACACATATACAAACACAGAGACAAATATGTGCACAAGAATTAAATACAATGTATCCATTTCTCACCACTATTAATTAACAGTTTTGAAACGAATGTGTGCCTTTTCAGTTTTGCTCTTATTTACCCACAGGGGTGGCAGTAGCCACTTCTTGTAATCTGGCTCCTTAAAGGAACAGTAGCCATGTTCTCCTGCAGCACATGTTTTCCAAACAGAGGATTACCCACATACAAAACCACAAATGATACTTTGATGCATTGGATTCAAACCAGATGAGCTATTTTCATTTCCTTAATACAACAAAACAGTTATGGTTTCCACACCACGCTTTGATCTTAATATGACCATAATTGAAGTAACAGTGCTTACTTTGTGAGGGGTTTTTTAAGGGTACTAATAATGTTCAAAACACCAAAAATGATCAACTTGGGGCCCTTCCACACAGCCATATCACCCAGAATATCAAGGCAGGAAATCCCTCCATATCTGCTTTGAACTGGGATATATGGTAGTGTGGACTCAGATAACTCAGTAAGAAGCAGATATGGTGGGATTTTCTGCCTTGATATTCTGGGTTATATGGTTGTGTGGAAGAGCCCTCAGTTCTACACCCCATTGTTGCTAAATGGGTTCTACTTGCAGGTAAGTAGGCACAGACATATATACAGCCTGTGCCTGCCTTTCTTCCACTATCACTTTGGTAGAGAAGAGTCTGTCAAATGATAAACAAATTTAAAAAAAGGGGGGGGGGGCAAGTCCAGAAGCAAAAGCTCAAAAAGGTGACACAAAGGGATTTCAATACTTAATAATTCCATTATTTTTGTTTTGTTTTTACAACACCACAGCATCATATAGAAGAAATAAAATTGCATTGCATGCACAATCTTTTCCAAAAAGTTATTAAAACATCAGACACCTTTGTGACTGTATTATAAATACAGAGAGTTTAACTGTATAGCTTTTTTTGAAAACCCCAGAGCTGATCATTATTGAAAGTGACTTTATTTAGGATCTATCTGTTGTCGAAATGATTGAGTTGGTGTGAGTTTTTGGGCTGTATGGCCAAGTTCCAGAAGCATTCTTTCTTGATGTTTGTGTTGTCCTTTATTTACTGTCCTGATTTTAGAGTTTATTTTAATACTGGTAGCTAGATTTTGTTCATTTTCATGGTTTCCTTCTTTCTGTTGAAATTGTCCAATTGGAATTCAAAAAATCAGGGCAGTAAATAAAGAACAACACTCTGAAAACAGGGGAATTCCAGACAGGGAACAATCAGGGCCAGCTAACACCTCCCAACAAAGGATTCCCTCAGACAGGCATCAGACAGGCTTAGAAGCTGCAAGGCTACTAAATGCTAATTGTGGTGATTAATTGTAGCATTCACACTTGCCTCCAACAGAGAAGAGTTCTTTTTACCATCCTGGACCTTCCACAGATACATAAACCTCTCTTGCTTAGTTTCCAACAGACCTCACAACCTCTGAGGATGCCTGCCTTACTACTTCATCACACTAGAGAAGGAATCCGGTTTCTGCAGAATTCTGGGGTTTGTAGTTTAGTGAAGTTGCTAAATTACAAACCCCGGAATTCTGCAAGAGGCAGAAACCGGATTTAAAGTGGATTCACTCTCTAGTGTGACTGAGCGAAACATCAGGAAACAATGCTTCTGGAACATAATAATGTTAATAATACTATTATTAAATAAAACTTTATTTATATACCGCTCTGTCTCCCCACGAGGACTCAGGGCGGTTTTCACAAAACATAAAACATCCAGAGTAGTTTTTACAGTATAAACATAATCCATAAACACAGTCCTATGCATTAACGCAGCCGGTTTCGCATTGTGCAATGAGTTACAAATGGCCTTACCTACACATGGGCTGAACAGTGTGAGGATTGGCCAAACAGCCCGGAAAACTCACAGCAAGCTATTTATTTAGGGTCGTTAGGTTGTGGATAGGTTGGGTAGGGATTTGGTTTTAACACAGCGGCCACAAGCATGGGTGGTAACATATAAATCCAGTGTGGGTGCTCGTCTTAAACCCTAAAGCACTGACGAGAAGTAGGAAGTGCGGCATTGAGGGAAAGGACAAGGCGGAGAGGGCCAAGAAAAACGTGCTTACTTGGTGTACAAAGACATCCACGGGAGAGTCCAAGGGGCTTCCCTCGCGGTGGAGCATGGAGATGAACCCGAAGCCCATCCTCACGTTGAACCACTTGCAGTGGCCCGCGCCGTGCAAAACCTGGCCTCCCTCCTCTTCCTCTTCTTCCTCCTCCTCTTCCTCCTCTTCTTCTTCTTCTTGTTCGGGCAGTTTCCCGGGCTCATCTCCACCTTTCCGCGCCCCCGCTGAGGTGGGCAGAGAGGGAAAACAGGGCGGATAAAGCGGCCACCAAACACACACACACACACAAGAGAGAGAGAGAGAGAGAGAAAGAACCCAAGGTTAGCAACATCCCTTGGCGCGGGGACAAGAAGGAAGGGTTGCTCCCGAGAGAGAAAAAAAGAAAACACAGGCGTTGCGAAACCAGCCTCTCCCCCCCTTTCTCCCCCTCCCTGAAACAACACACAACAACAACATCGCAGGAAGGACAGAAAATCTCCTTTTCGAAGGCAAAGCAGGCAAAGGCAGCGTGTGCGGCGAGCTGGTTCTCCCTCTCCCTCCCCAAGACTCTCACTCACGCTCCCCCCCCCCCCGCCCGCACTCCACACTCGGGACACACACACGCGTCGTTGTGCCGTACATACGTGCGCTTCTGCCCTTTAACGCCATCTCTGAGCCACCTAAACCACCCCCGAAAGCGATACTTTACTTGGGTACTGCTGGTTGAGCACCGAGCCCATATCCCTCCCCAGAGGAATTCGCCGGCGAATGAGCCTCGCCTGGGCAGCCAGGGAAGGAGGGAGGGGAAGGGGGGGAGGAGGAGGGGAAAGGGGAGGGGGCTGCGGGAGGGGAGGGGGAGGAGGGAGCAGAGGAAACCGAGGAGGAGGAGGCGGTTGCGCAACCCAAGCAGCAGCCAGTGCCGCGAGTGAGGCTCCGACGACGCTCCTTCTCTCTCTCTCTCTCTCTTTTCTAGCCCCCAATCGCTTCCCTTCCCTTTCCTCTCCCTCTTCTTCCCTCTCTCTCTTTCTCCCATTCCACCTTCTTTTCTCTCTTTTCCAGCCCCCAACCGCTTCCCTTTCTTCTTCACCTCTCCCTCCCCCCTCTCTCTCCCACTCTCTTCCAGTCCCCAATTACTTCTCTTTCCTCCATCTCTCTCTTTCTCTCATTCCACGCTCTTCTCTTTTCCAGCCCCCAATCGCTTCCTTTTCCTCGCCTCTCCCTCTCTCCCTCTCTCTCCCCCGCTCTCTCTTCCAGCCCCCAGTCGCTTCCCTTTCCTCTCCATCTCTCCCTCTTCTTCCCTCTCTCTTTCTCTCATTCTACCTTCTCTCTTTTCCAGCCCCCAATCGCTTCCCTTTCCTCTTCACCTACCTCTCCCCCCTCTCTCTTTCAGCCCGCAATCGCTATCTTTTCCTCTCCACCTCTCCTTCTCTCTTCCAGCCCCGTTTTCCCAATTTAATTTTTTTTTTTTTCTTTTTTTTCTTGACAAAGACAACCAAGTAGTTGTCTCCAATCCTACTCGAACTCTTCCAGCCCTCAGTGCTTCCCTTTCCTCTCCCTCTCTCCCCCTCCCCCCTCTCTTCCAGCCCCCAATCGCTTCCCTTTTTTCTCCACTTCCCTCCCTCCCCTCCTCTCTCATTCCACGCTCTTCTCTCTTTTTCAGCCCCCAACTGCTTCCCTTTCCTCTCCACCGGAATCGCCTCCATCCAGGGTCGAGGGGAAGGGGGGCTTGCTGGCCGAGAGGGGGAAAGCTGTGGACCCCACTTGCCCCTCACCACTAGGAAACCCTTCTTCGCCCCTCCCGCAGGCGAACAAAAGCCACGGGGAACGACTCTCGGCTCCATCCAGTATGTATATAGACTGAAGTGACTGGCTTGACTTAGAAGGAGCTGGGGGTGGCCACGGCCCACAGGGAGCTCTGGTGTGGGCTGGTCCAGGAGGTCACGAAGGGTCGGAAGCGACTGAACGGATAAACAACCAAAATAGATAAGACTCTCTGGGTTTCCTTAAATTGCATTGGGTTCTCTGGATTGCCTGCCGCGCGCGAAGGGGCGGAAAGAGAGGAAGGAGGAAAAGAAAGCATCTGGGCATTCCACAGATCTGGAAACCCCACTTTCCTACTGTTGGGACGGCAAACAACACTCAAAAGACAGGGGAATTCCAGACAAAACAAGGGCCAGCTAACACTAAAGGATCCCCCAGGCAGGAAGCAGCCAGGCTTTGAAGCTACAAGGCCATTCAATGCTAATCAAGGTGATCAATTGCAACAATCACACTTGCCTCAAACATACAAGAGTTCTTTATCCCACCCAGGATATTCCACAGATATATATATACCAGGGGGACCCCAGAAAGGAAGCAATCAGGGCCAGCTAACACCTCCCAACAAAGGATTCCCCCAGGCAGGAAGCAGCCAGGCTTTGAAGTGTCAAGGGCATTCAATGCTAATAAGGGTGGCCAACTGCAACATTCCCATTTGCCTCAAACAGACAAGAGTTCTGTCTCCCACCCTGGATAATATAAACCCCACTTGCCTAGTTTCCAACAGACCCCACAACCTCTGAGGATGCCTGCCACAGATGTGGGTGAAACGTCAGGAGAGAATGCTTCTGGAACACGGCCATACAGCCCGGAAAACTCACAGCAACCCAAAAAGCATCTAACCTCAGGGAAACAATAGGATGGGGTGGGGGAGGGTTGTTTGGGGGGTTAACCTTCAGCCATATTGCCCTCACCAAGGGCCCCATCTACACTAACCATTTAACGCAGCTTGCAACTCTTGCGAAATAAAGTCCCTGGATGAATGCGCCTTTGTGGTTTGTTGTGTCATCACCACGGATTTCCTAAGGAATCATCTGCAAAGCGGCTTTCTTCCATACCGGTTCGAAAGGACATGAAGTGGTCAGTGTAGATGAGGCCAGACGTTGCCAAGCACCACCACAATCCACAAACCTTTCGGACCCGCTTCCACACTTTGGTTGTCAATTACGCCCGTGGGGATTCTGTTGTCCTCCCTTTCACACACACCACTCCTGGCTGTGTTCAATGTAGAGTCGAAGGCTTTCATGGCCGGAATCACGGGGTTGTTGAGTTTTCTGGGCGAAACGTCAGGAGAGAATGCTTCTGGAACATGGCATGGCTGTGTTGTTTTTGAATAATAATAATAATATAACATAATAACAGTGATCTTGTTTGCTATGTACTAATCTTGTTATGCATCTAATAGTAAGGTGGTGGTGGTGAAGGTGGTGGTGGTAGTAGTAGTATGGGCTTGGGCCTCCTAAGTTGCTGGGCCCATACACACACCGCCCACGTGACTGGGTCCCTGCCCGCCCTCCTCGCTACTAATTTAACTTCGACGCCTCTGAGTGGGCGTGGCCAGGGAGACCGGAACAGCCAATAGGCGCAGCGAGCGGTTTTGACGCGCCAGAATAATTTATGAATGAACGGCCACTCTCTCTCCCCCCCCCCCTTTCCCTACGTAGATCCGGCAAAGAGGGGGCGGGAGGAGAGAGAAAAGCCTTCCTTTCCTTTTTTCTTTTTCTTTCCGGGACTTTGCTAGGAAAAGAGAGCTGGCTCTGCGCCTCCGAGAAATGTCGGCTCAGGGAAATGGGGCGGGGGGGGGGGGGGAGCCCAAGGAAGGTGCCCTAGAGTTTGATAGTTTCCTCCTCTTTTTGTTAGACGTTGCTTGAAGGTAAGTGTCCCCCACTGGTCTTGGCGGAGGGATGTCGAAGGCGTCCGATTGTCATTTGCCGGGAGTGCCTTCATTGTGTCTTCCTGCCTGGCAGATTGGGGTTGGACTAATTCTACAGCAGTGAGCCCCTGATGGCCATCTGTTCGGAGTGCCTTGATTGTGTCTCCCTGCCTGGCAAGTTGGGGTTGGACTAATTCTGCAGCAGTGAGCCCCTGATGGCCATCGGTCAGGAGTGCCTTGATGGTGTCTTCCTGCCTGGTAGATTGGGGTTGGACTAATTTTGCAGCAGTGAGTCTTCGATGGCCATCTGTCGGGAGTGCCTTGATTGTGTCTTCCTGCCTGGCATGTTGGGGTTGGACTTAGACGGCTCTTGGGGGTCTCTTCCAACTATGATTCTATGAGGGGGGGGGGCTTCCCACAAGTCGCAGCTGGTATGACCTCACACTAGAGAAAAAAATCCACTTAAAATCCGGTTTCTGCCTCCTGCAGAATTCAGGAGTTTGTAGTTTAGGAAAGACCCTTTAACAGCCTCACTAAACTACAAACCCCAGAATTCTGCAGGAGGCAGAAACGGGATTTTAAGTGGATTTGTTCTCTAGTGTGATGAAGTGGTGGTGGGAGAAGCGCTTGGTCCTGCCCCACGGAATTTCACGGAGCAACGTGGAGAGGATTCTTGCCTCGTTCAAATCAACAGGGTTTTGTTGGAGGGACAGAAGAGAGGCAAGTGTACAAAAGGGGGCTGGGGTGCGACTACAGCAAGCCTGGGCCAACTTGGGCCCTCCTTCCAGGTGTTTTGGACTTCAACTCCCACCATTCCTAGCAGCCTCAGGCCCCAAGTTGGCCCATGCCTGGACTACAGAGAACAACCCTACTTTCGTTGCATCTCGACCTGATCCACCACTCGAAGGGTGGGTTTGAAACATAGAGGCACCTTAATGGAGAGCCAAGCAGGGCGCCGAGGGAGAGAAAGAAAGAGAGAGGGAAAGAAGGAAAGAGGGCGGGCGGTGGGTCGAAGGGATGTGATTAATGACTTCCTAAATCCGAGGGCAGTTGGGAAGGCCAACCTTAGGGCGAAGCTCGCTTGGGCGGCAACGAGGGGCCTCCAGGTGGAGGAGGGGCCTGGGAGGTGGGCTGGATGGGGTCTGTCAGGGAAGAGGAGGAAACGGGTGGGAGGGAGGAGGGGGAGGAAAACACAAAAAAAGAACAGACTGGAAACTGCGCGATTTGATCACACCCTCCTCCTTTGGGGAGGGGACATTTCAGACACGTGTTAAGGCTGGTTTCTCTCCATGTTTGTTCTCGCTTGGGAGATGTGGGTGCATTCACACTGGAGAATGAACGTAGTTAGTTTAGCCTCACTTGAACTGCCAGGGCTCCAGGCAATTGAATCCTGGGAGTGGGTTGCTGTGAGTTTTCCGGGCTGTATGGCCATGTTCCAGAAGCATTCGTGTTGTTGTTGTTCATTCGTTCAAAGAGTCGTTTCCTACTCTTCCTGACCTCATGGACCAGCCCACGCCAGAGCTTCCTGTCGGCCGTCACCACCCCCAGCTCCTT